CACTCATCAGACGAAACGCGGAATTTCTTCCACTTCACGCCTGTTTTCTGTGTGGTGGTGGTATTTCACCGGGCGAACCTGGCCAATTCGTGCGAAGATGTTAAAGCGGGTTCTACCACTCTTAAAATCAAAAAATAATTTCATACATCTTACTTCATACTAATATAAATGCGAAAGTTTAGATGGATGGATGAAAGCATGACTGTTTGAAGGTATCTCCGTAACGGCTCAATGGAGCTTGATGCAATTTTGCACATATGTAGAACATAGACTAGAGAAACACATAGGCTATTAAGTTTATATACTTATTAAGGTTTTTTTTAATATCGCGCGTTCGGAGTCGCGGGCAACCGCTAGTTTTATCAATAGTTATATAATCTATTCAGTTAGTACCAAAACTGTTTGTAACTAGTTCGTCAAATTCAGTTCACACGCCGAATGTAGGTTCCTCAAATTGATTAATATTAAAATTTATTTGACTTCGAACCCAACTTACATATCAGGTATATTCTCAACAGTATCGCTTGGTTTTATGCAAATTTTTGATTCCAAAAAATTAATAAAACCGTGAGGTTTCAATTTTTAATTAATGATTATTTTTTAACTTTATAGGGTTTTATTTGACCTTGTTTTTTTCGAAATAAAAATTCAAAATACGAGTTTTAAATGTCAAATGTTGAATGACCTCAGAAATATTTGAAATTTTATTTAAATTCTTTTATGTCCCTACAAACATGTGAGAATTATGGGTGCAATCCATTCATGAGCATTAAGCAGATTAGGATTCTAGGGTCACATAATAAAAAAATAAAGAGATTGAATGGCCAAAAAGATAGATTGAAGATTGTGTGAAAGAGGATATGCGTAAAAAAATCAGATATGACAGCCGATAGGTATAGAGTAATCATCGTGTCTGCCCTCCGTAACGACAAGGGAAGCTTGAAGATGATAAGTTGCACTAACCATGAGTTTGCACTACCGAATTAGCTGTTTGTACGTTATAGACACATATTTTCTTAGCAATGGAAACCCAAAGTAACAAGAACAATATTCAGTGTTTGTTGTATTCGAAAAGAAATAGCATTTGTAGAAAGTTATGTTATCATAAGTACACAACAGTTTAATTGATTGTGCATCAAACATAATAGGCTCGCAATTCTTATGAATAACTGTTAACAACTTGTAATTAAAACCAAAAAGATAACAATGACATTTGAACTTCCTCTGACATTATTACATCATATGGATTCAACGTTCTCTTTAATTAGAAGTAGTTTTACTAAAAATAATTATCTTACTAATATTATAAATGCGAATGTTTGGATGAACGGATGTTTGTTTGAAGGTATATCCAGAAGGGCTGCACGGATCTTGCTGAAATTTCGCTTAGATGTAGAATAGTCTGTAAGAACACATAAGCTACTAATTAGTTTTTTTTTTAATTCCTTGGGGACGGAGTCGTAAGCGAAAGTTAGTAAACTTTATATTCACAATAGTTTATAAATGACAAGTAATAAGCTTAAAAGATCTTAAAGAGAGATTAACAAAAAATCCAAGATTTTATTCCCTAATTGAGATAAATATGTAAAAAATATTACAGGCACATAGAATGAAGAAATTATTCATACCTACGATGTTATTAGAAAAAAAATAATTTTTATCAATTAATGTTTTTTTTTTTTCAGCGGTGCCGGGAAGACGACTTTGATGTCTGCGTTAGCATACAGAAACCCAAGTGAGTCCCTTATTGTGTCCGTACTATTTCTATAAATAAAAAATCTATATGTTTGTCATCGATGCGTGCGTTAACCTTTATCACAAACACAGGAATAGTCAAGTAATTAACCAAAGAAATAACTCATCAAATACCACGTATTTCTTTTACAAGGTCAGGTACAATTTGAAAGATGTCTTTAATAATTAATCAACGCATCTGCGATTCCTCTGGTATTGCTGATGTCCATGGGCGTCGTTGAACATCTCGGTGTTCCCGATGCTCGTTTGCCCCCTTCTGTTATAAAAAAAAAAGTATTGGATGCTTCCCATTAAGACCGTACGATCCACCGATCAATCTCCCTAATGTAATATTTTTCCCATTCATCCGATCCTCACTGAAATGGTAATATATGCGAGAAAGTACTTTGTAGAACTCTGTAAGTGACAAACCTCAGCGTGTTCTGTCTATGATATGAAAGTTTCGCGAAAATGAAGTGTGCTGTTCTAAAATATTCAGGAGACTTCCTTACGTCTTTATTAAAATTAACAACCAAAATTCAAATCTGAAGAGGTCGTAATGTAAAACTGTTTCCGTACTTAGTATTCATTAATAGAATGAATTGGTGAAACGGAAAAAATATTCTATTAAGGCTATTGAATTTTGTTTGTTACATTTCAGTTGTAGAAAAGGTCCGTATAAAACGAATACCAATTGTCGTTTCTATATACATAATTGGTTTCCCATGACCTTGACAGTTATCTGTTTATCTTGTTTTTCTGGGTTTCAATATTATTCAAATTTTATAAAAGAATAAACATAAAAGATTGAAATATCAATATTAAAATGACGATGTTAATTAATAATAAGAGGTAAATCGTATAAAAATTGAAAAACACTAAAAGGGCAAGCTATATTTAATATGTAAATTATTAATCTTGCTAATATTATAAATGCGAATATTTAGATGGATGTATGTTTGTTTAAAGGTATCACGAGAACGGCTGAATGGATCTCGCTAAAATTTGGCATAGATGTAGAACATAGTCTGGAAGAACGAACACATTGGCTACTAATAATGTTTTTTTTAATCCACGCGGACGGAGTCGCGGGTGATAGTTATGTTTAAATTGTTATACTCACGTCTGCATAACTGAGTTGTGATGTACAGTAACAAACAAAAATTAATGAAGGTCGTATTTTAAACTAAAATATTATTATAAAAAAAATTGTACTTATATGTATTGTACCTATGTTGTCTTCTGACATAATAAGAAAACATATCGTTCAAAATTTATTTTTTCATGTTATGTAATTAGTAAGCAAATTAACATTTCTGGGCATCGATTAATGATACTAAACAACTAGTGAATGAATTCAGAGAAATATTAATTATTGCAATTCAAAGTTCATCTTTAGTGGTACTACAGAAACGTGTTGACTAAGGTCGTCCCGCGACAGAACTGAAATAGATATAGCTTTTGACACTGGTTTTCAAATTCATGACTTTTTACTTATTTAAAAGTTTTTTTTACTCCGTTATACAAAAAATAGACGCAGATAAATCTGTGTATGTAATTAAGTAAAGATAAAATAGAAGGATAACATGTATCGATTCAAAAATCTGACACAATAAATTCAATGCTATGTTCTCGAGTTTCGGGTCATTTTGGATAACCGTTTCAGTTAATGTCGGCTCGTGCTCCATTACATTTAAAATTCTAATATAAAACATACATTATAGCATTATTCAAAATGCTAATTATGTTAATATAATATGTGCGTATTCGAATAAAGCTAGCCATTTGAAAAATAGCATATAGGATTTATTTTATGAAAATTTTGTCAACGATGATTAAATATTATGCAATTAGAATCTAAAAAATAGCAAAAAATTGGTTTATTTTCTTTTGTTTTCGAACTTTGGGACAATTAGGGCTTTAACTCCACTAGCACTATCTAGGGTTTCCCCTTCTAAGACTATTAATTATTCAATAGCGTATTAAATCAATGTAAACAAAAGACTTACTAACTTACTCCGCTGGCGCATTGACCCAAAGTGGGTCTTTGCCTCCGACATAAGAGATCGAACATAAACAAAAGACAGTCGATAATAAAGTAAACAGTAGGAGTAATTCAATTTGAGAGAAGAGTGATAAAAAGTTTCAACAATGCGTAATTTGAAATGGATCTCAAAATTAAACTCGCGGCTCTTTTATGTTGCAATCTACTCATATCGCCTCCTAATATGTAACATCTTAGCTGACTGGTAGTGATTTTTATTACCTTTTTTATGGTAGATTACGAAAATCATTTAAATAAACAATTTGTATGTGACAGACCCAAAATTTTTCGAAAATAGTTTTGTTTTAATCACCTGTATTGAAATCCTGTTTGTTTTTAAGGTGTTCTTGTTTTTTTAAAAAAAATATTAGATCGATTTTAAGTACTAGTAATAATACTGCTTAGTATCACAAATTCATGGTAAGCTGTGTTTTAAATTTAAATTTAAATTGATAAAATTAATATTTTAGCAGCTTATAAACTATAAGAAGCTTCAGTGGCTCAGGAGTCAAGCACGTGACTTACAATACAGGTCCTGGGTTCGAATCCCGCCATGTACCAATGTGATTTCAATTTCCGATTTACATATGTACATTTATCCGACGTTCTTACGGTAAAGGAAAACATCGTGATGCAACCTGCACATATCTGAGAAGAAATTCAAAGATATGTGTGAAGTCAACCAACCCGCACTTAGTCAGCGTGGTTGACTATGGCCTAATCACCCTTAACTTAGGGTATGCCCCGAGCCCCTCGGCGGGGACCTATACTGAGCTGGAAACGATGAAATAAACAATTATTATAGAAATGTTACATGTTGTTTGCTTGAAGCTTTTGCGTGTATTATAAACTTTTAGCGCATATCTAGTTCAAACGTATTTTAGTTACGTTTTTTTGCAGTTGGGACGTTAATAGACGGCGACATCGCAATGAATGGGTTACCAGTCGGCGACTTCATGCACAGAGAGAGCGGATACATGCACCAAGATGAACTATTTGTGGAGAACCTTACTGTTATTGAACACCTCTCTATTATGGTAAGGCTAATAAATAAACAATACATTGTATTACCATTTTACCAAACTCACGGACAATACTCTACAGAAGCTCAAAGAAACTAAAGGATAATTTAAATCCTAATCAATCAATAGCTACCGTTCTTTTCATATCAAAGCAATCTAAATTGTGCCCATAATCCAAATCCTCTTCAATTCACGTTAATTTTACTTTGTGCTCCAACGATCAAAATTATTGTTTTTATTTTCCTTAGAAAATATATTTACTACAACAAAAAGCAAATTGATTTGTCAGGACATGATACATGATAAACAAAATGTTAATAATAATTCAAAACATGGGTTTCCATTGCCAACAAAAACATATTGCTTGTAATATGCAATGCAATGGAAACCCAAATGATTGTCATTTTTCCAAGAGAAAATAATATATGATAACATGTTTTTGTGTTACGGCATTATAAGCCTACAGATAGACAATCTATACTATTATTATAAAGAGGAGGAGCTTTGATTGTTTACATTGAATAGACCCCGATACCCTGAAACGATTTGAAAAATTATTTCAATGTTGGAAAACTACACCATCTCCAAACTACATTGTTTATATTACTAGATTTTTTAATTACTCGTGGATGAAGTCGCGGGCAACTGCTAGTTACTTATAAGTTCAGAATCCGATGACTTTATTTGCAATAAATCAATATTACAATGTAAACTTATGTTCAATAAATGTTAGAACATAGTAAAATATTTATTTAGAAAAAAATATCAGGTTTTTTTTTATGATACATAAAAAATATTTACTATGCTAAATTATGGCACGCGCCTCATAGATTCCTAAATTAATAAACAGACCCATAATATTCATAGTCAACACTATTAGAATAAATCGAGGTGACGGCTATGAGACATATTCAATTTATTAAGATGGTAAATTTAATTTAATATAGATCTTTTAAGTGATAAACTTTACACAGGATGTCTAAAATAAACGAGTTTTCAATTTTTTTTAAAGATTGGGAATGCGTTAGTCACAATATTATTATTATTTGAAATTACATGTATACCTTTTTATACCATCCGGTTTACAGATTGCTTTGTCGCCGCCAAAAAGTGACCACTAAAATAATAAATATCATTCAACTTCGTGTCTTCTTATATAATCCTGTAATTGATGTTTACAGAATGCATTTTAACAAACTTCCTGTATCATATGATTTACCAAAAACCATTTGAAAATTATTCCAACGGCGTATCTGACATTATGTTTTATAAGCTTTATGTACGTTGCCATATCTATGTTTTAATTAGGTCTACATAATATTTGCATTTATTTCACTATCTATCAGGAAGTGTTATTTACAATTAAATATATATGTAATTAAACTAAATTAATACGTTATGTTTCTATTAACTTTTTTAAAAGCAATGGCGTTGCTTTTATCTCTCTCTGTAGTTATTTCTGTAAAGTTCCTTCGACAATGTAAACTGACGGTGCTTTATTCGAAAACACGTGTCCATATAAATTTTCTCACACGTAATCACTTGACCCAATTAACTGGGTACGTGCACACGTCGTATATTTTCCGACGTAATATTTTTTCCAATAACCAACGTAATATTTTTCCCAATATGTGTTACTGTTACATGAAATTAATAAATAAATAAATAAATAAAATAAATTAAATTGTCGTCATATGAGAATATACGTTGATAAAGTTAAAATGACCACATGATTCTTATTTTAAAAATTATTTTCGAAATTATCAAAAGTAAAATTTATGCAAATCAAGCGATTATTTTTTTTAAATCCATGAGAAACAAAAAATCAATGCCACCAGTTAACACAGTATTATTATTTACAAAAACCTATTAATTTTAATGATTGTATTCAGTATATGTCGTCTACCTGAGATGTCATGGCACGTGTCAACAGGTTTTTTAAAACCCAAGGTCGAAATTAGAGATTATTAATTCAAAATCTGTAGCAAAAAATCTTTTAACATATTTTGATTTTTTCTACTGGCAACCAGTTACAAGCTGGAATTTTTTCTTCAATTTTTTTTCCAATGTAAAAACTTTTTGGAAAATATACGTTGTTCATATTGGATGTATTTTACATGTGTTTATACAAGCATACTGTGTTTAGGCCCGTCTCCGTATGGATCGGCGAACTTCTTCGTTGGCACGACGAAGACGAGTCAACCAACTTCTAAGACAATTGGGACTGTATGGCTCACGGTATACTCGCATCGGAGGCTTGGAGGGACGCAATACTTTATCAGGAGGTGAACGAAAACGACTGGCATTCGCTACGGAAGTAAGGATATATATTTTCGTGGACACTAGCATAAATTTAGATATTAAATTAATAAAATCAGACAATACCACGTCTCATGGGCGTCGCCAACTGTTGGTAGGCTTTAGCCACCATCTAAATTGTCTTGTTCGAAGTAGTTTTTTATATATATGTAAGCTATCTGCTCGTCCCTACTCTCCTATGTCACGGTTGATATAGAAATAGGAAAAGGGGGGTTCGGCTATGGTCACCTCTGCGGGGTCATTTCCCAAATTAGGAAACGCAATTGATATCCGAAATGTGATCGATCGTGCCTCTATCTTCATATGGATTAAAACCATATTGTGTTACAATTTTAATGCTTATTATTGCAGTTACTAACCGACCCCGGACTATTATTTTGTGATGAACCGACCACTGGATTAGACTCGTCATCGGCACAGAAGTTAATGTCTTTGCTCCGAGCGAGTGCGGTTCAAGGCAAGACAGTTATTTGCACCATACATCAACCTTCATCAGAGTTGATGGCATTATTTGACAAGCTGGTACTCCTCGCTGAAGGGAGAATAGCATTCGCGGGAAATGCTTCGGGAGCACTCAGCTTTTTTGAAAGGTAAACCTAACATTCTCAAGTCTAAATTTTAGAGTGATTATTTATTATTTTACCAAAAATTCGAATTTATATTAGGCTTAAATAAAACCAATTACCATCCCTGAAAAACAGGCATTCAATAATCGTTTAATTTACATTTAAAAAACAATAAACGATAGTAATTTTGATAAAACAACCGAGTTAGATAATTTTCTCATTAATTATGCAAGAAGTGACGATCATTTCCCGTGGGAACATAATGTCAGGTCCAAGTTGTTTTTGTATGTTTTATGGACGGAAGCAGAATGTTAGAAACACGAAGATGTCTAGACTTGGCGTACTTTGTTTTTGATCCCTGATCGAGTAAAACCGTTTGTAAATAGGTTAAACGGTGACCGTAATAGGACTTTCCGGCGACCGGCTTATCACGACTTCAAGCCTATTTAAGATATTTTATAGCTACCTAAAAATCATTGTAATATTATTTTTGTCACCGTAATATTATAAACACATTATGTTACTAAATACACTATCTATATACTAAAATAATGTATATGCAATTTGTTATTTACAACGCAACAGTATAGATAGTAGTAGTTTGTAGTATAGATTTTTTTAGTTAATTTGAGATATTTTTGGACACAAAAAATTGTGTAGTAAGTGTTTATCGTTTTAAAGAGGTATTAGGAAGGATGCAGTAAAATTGTCTTTTTAAAAATAATTTAAAATATTTTAATTCAGTGAACATATTTAGAAATTTATTACCTAGTGCTTTTAAGTTAAATGTATTTAATTCATAATCTGTTTTAACATTTATCTTTATTTCCGTGTTTTATTTTTGTTGTTTTGTTTTATTGAATCATCAAAATAGAAGGTCGCGATAAACATACAAACAACTAATTTTACAAAGTAAAGTAATATTATAAATGCGAAAGTTCAGATAGATGGATGGCTTAATGGATCTTGATGAAATTTGACACAGGTGTAGAACATAATCTGGAAGAACACATAGGTTACCTAGTAAGCTTTTTTTAATTCCACGCGAAGAGATTCGCGGACGCTAACTATATTTTTATAAATCCATAATTTTGATATCAATTCTTCGATGTGCGGTTCATTTAATTGCTATATTTTATTAAATTTAATTGATCTGTTACAAGGTCTAAACAATGTTAGGAATATAAACAATCAAAAGAACTTAGCACACAAAAAGATTTATTAATTTATTGTTGTCGAATTATCTATGTATGTTAAATTTACTAAAGCAAAGACCTTCACTGCCTTCTACAGGACTTTTACTTAAGTATATAGGTATATAATTTTAATAATGAGTGATTTAAAATAGTCATTTTACACTAATTCGTCTTTTTCTAGTGCGATCTAATACGGTAAAATAACCACGGCGATTCTAGTTATTTTTGGACAAACATTTTTGCAAAACTTAATTCATTTCTAATTATGATTTAAAAGATAATAAAATTAGCGAGTCTAATGTTGCATAATACATTTATATGTCGTTAAGCGAACAATTTATGATTCGATTTAAATATTTGTTGCATAAATTATATTAATTTACATAACTTATCTATACTTACATTGTGCAGTAGGGATTTATGTGCGAACAATATTGAATAATTAATAATGACAGGGAGATATTATGTGATGATATGAAACATAATATTTGCAAGTATCATTGCATCGTGCAATATCAAGAAGCAACTGCATGTTGCTTGTAGCATATTGCGAAGTTATATCTAACATAACCATTTTTACTCCCCAAACACACAAACATGGTCAATTCTCTCATTTTCCTGAAAAAAAATTTTGTGACAAACAAATTATTACTGTGGTTTTTTGTATGTATTACAGTTTAACTGTATCACTTTAAAAATACAGTTAGATAATGTTTAATTAAACACGTGTTTTGTCAAAAATCCGCGCTGGGCACTAATCACGATATAAAAGGGTTGACGTATGTTTATGCTTAAATATGTTATGTTTTATTGTTCCAGCCTCGGCTACCATTGTCCATTGACGTACAATCCCACAGACTTCTTCATTAAAGTGTTAGCATTGACGCCTGGTTCAGAGGGCGCATCGCGACACGCTATCAAAAGTGTATGCGACAGGTTCGCAGTCAGTGATGCCGCTAAGGAGTTAGATATGGAAATACATCTTGAATTCCATCTCATGGACCATGAAGATGAGGTAAGGGTTACGTAGAATTTCACTTTACCGGGGCATGTTTTCTAAGAAAATGTGCTTGTACCGAACGCACTAAGGTTTGAACGCACTAAGGTTTGTTAACAATTTGTCCGAAAACTTTCTTGATAAAGAGTTCTACGAATTTCGTAACAAGAATTGATTTATTCTTTGGTTTATTTTTATGTATTTTCTTTGTATAGGAATCAAGACGTGCAAAAGAAGACAGTTTCAGACCACCTTTCTTCTTTACGAAGATGATTTGGCTGGTGTACCGGTACCTGCTAGTTATATTAAGAGATCCACGAGTACAATTACTACGTATTTTACAAAAACTAGTAAGTAATTTGCTTCTTAACTATTTCACTATCGCGCACCATGTAGTACCGCATCAATAAAAATACCAATTTTGAAAAAAAGAAATCTTATTCACATCTGTCAAAAACGTTTTACAATGATTCCCAATAGTGATCTAGACATTTACAAACATCATAAGAAGTTAAGAGCTTTGCTTAGACTTGGAATTTACAATCACATTTAATTTCAGGCTATAGCATTAACAGCGGGCTTGTGCTTCATCGGTACCGCACATTTGACACAGGCAGGCATCCAGGACGTGCAGGGAGCCCTCTTCATAATCATCGCCGAGAACACTTTCAGTCCAATGTACTCTGTGTTGAATATGTTCCCTGAAGAGTTCCCGATGCTGACCAGAGAGCTTAAAGCTGGCTTATACTCCACGCCGATTTATTATCTAGCGAGGATGACTGCTTTGGTAATATAACCATACAAGATTCTTTTTTCTTCATGATACTTTCTAAGTTCCGCCAGTAACCGAGTTTCGATTCGAGAACTTTTATAAAATAATATATTCTTCAGTATATTATTTTTTTAGAGGTTTAATGTAGTTAAGTTTTACTATTAGCGATTGCAACATAATCGGCTAAAATTTAATATTCAGTGACTACTGATAAATTAGAATGCGCCTGAGATTAAAAATTAGCAATTCTTTAAAACGACCAATAATTTCTATTACTAAATGATTGATAAATAATGCGGATGTATTTTTAATTAATCATTCTATCATTACAGTTCCCTGGCCTGGTGATAGAGCCAACGTTATTTACCCTGGTGGTGTATTACATAGCGGGTCTGCGCGCTACCGCCTTTGCCTTCAGCTTTACTGTCTTCTTATCAATTATTGTACTCAACGTCGCCATTGCGTGTGGTAAGTATATAACTTATACGCATGAAATTTTATAACAAAATATAAGATATATTATTCTTTGTTTTCCACAAGCGCACATGCACAAACATACACTATCGCACACTATATATCTAGTATTTATATTTGTATCTTAATAATAATAATCTATATCTAATTACATATATGTTAAGTATCTATTATATATAAACTTTAGGCAATAGATAAGAGAAGGTGCTGTCTCCTGAAACACAGTATTTACTAGTTCAGGAGACAGAGCCCACAATTTTTTTGTGAAAATGTTTTTTTTTTTTGGTCAATAAAGGATTTTTATTTTTTTTTATTTTATTTTTATTTTTTCCGCGAATAGTTTAGGGCTTTTTAAAGAATAGATTATTTTAATAGCATCTTTTATTTACAGGTTCATTTTTCTCGTGCGCTTTCGGTTCAATGCCGGTCGCCATCGCCTACCTTGTACCTTTTGACTACACCTTGATGTTGACGTCAGGACTATTTGTCAAATTAAGGTAATTTTTACATTGTCATTGGGCAACATTTTTGTAAAATACAATTTTTTTTGGTAATAAGCTTAATAAATATTAGCGCCTATGTATAATATCTATACTTTTTTTTCAGTTCAATACCAAAATATGTCTCATGGATACGGCATTTATCGTGGGTAATGTACTCCAATGAAGCTATGAGTATCTTACAATGGGATGGAATACAAAATATAAGTAAGTTCAAATTATTGTCAATTTAGCTACCTAACTACCTATTCCTGTTAAGAATGAGACAAAATGAAACAATATACATAAATACATCTTACAAAAATTATATATTATATTTGTATTATATTTTGTAAGATTCCTTTTCGCGAATTTCCCGTGTCAAAACACTTGATAAAAGTAATCTTTAACTTACTAACCTTAAAACAAACAATATCTTCCAGCTTGCATAGCGCCGGGCAACATGACGGATGGCCCCTGCCTGAGCACGGGAGACGAAGTGCTGGAGCAGTACGACTTCCGCATAAACCAGTTCTGGACTGACGTCGTCGCCCTTCTCATCCTCTGCCTTGGGTTCCATCTCCTCGCACTTATAGCACTAAGATTTCGTACAAGAAGAAAATAGACAAATTTAGAATTATCGACCTTTAACAGAAATCTTATGAAATCTCATAAAAGATGTTATTCGCTATGTCAACACTTTTCTGATATAAAAGTGTTTTAGGACATGGTATGAAATAATTTTATGTTATTTTAAACACGTGTCGAATTATATCAAAGAGTTGTTTTTTAATTTACTGCATGTCGTTAAAACTAAATTATGATTAAAAATTGATTGAATAAAATACTAATGAAACCTTTTTGTTTTATTTAAATACCATATAACGAAAAGTATAAAACCTTTACGCGTCAAATTGTGTTCCGCGATTCGCGCGAAGATAAGGGGGGTTAGACAAAGTGCATTCGCTTCGAAGCAATTCCATATCGAATTTCAAAAATGTATGGGAGTGATGCGCTACAATCAGGTGACTTTACGAAAGTTATTGTCAGTTCGGTAGCGAATACACTTTGTCTAACCTCGAAGAGCTGCCAATATATCTATAGACGACAATAACCTATCCTTAGTTTGTGATTAGCACTTACACGAGAGACGAAAAAGACGTAGACAGTTATTCAAAGCACCTACTGTAATACGCTACTTGGGCTATCAACTATCAACTATTGTGCACCCTAACATCCAATATGGTAACGACACTAGTTATTTTCCCCGCCACTTATATTAGATTGGGTTAAATTAAAATTACGAGATGTTTTATCTTAAAAGGTTTTATTCTGAAAGCGACGTCTGCGTACATAATTACGAGTATTTATTCAGAGTAAGAATAATTTAAAGTTACTTACATATAATATGAAATGTTGCAGACTTCTTTCACAATGGCACATGAAGATAAATATTTGCGACATTGTAATTTGCGTAAGATGGGTAACATTTTCATTACACATTATTTATTTTCGCAAACTACTTATGTATACCATTATGTGTGTCTTAGAACATAATTAGGAAAATTATTTACAAGCTCTGGTTTACCGTTTCAAGGCTCCAGGACATGAAAATAAAACCCTCGGTCCTCACGCAGTAAACATGGCGGTCATATAAAAATTCAATATACGGAATTATTCAGCGACACTTAAATTTTTAAGTTGATAAAGGTAAACTCTATAAGCACAATGTCATCTGAATATTTAATGTGGAAAGCTTATTTAACAAATTTCCTTATACACATTTTTTTGTTGTTGAAATTAAAATTGTTAAAAAATTTAGTTATCGTAGCGACATCTACGTTGAAAACAAACTGTGCGACTAAAACCCCACTGGATAAGCCCGAGGTCTTAATAGTTCATCGGTGTGCGTAGAGATGGCGCTACTTCCGATCATTCTGTTACCTGGGCGACCGGCTTGTGCTTGCGGCGCAAGCGTAGTTCAAATTCATCCGCCATATTCGTCGTGTCAGACGGAGTGCAGTGTACGGCTGTGTCATGTTTTAACGTAAACTGCACATAACTTATGACAACGAATCATTTTTGGTGCTTGTTTCGTGTAAAGAACGTTGAAAATATGCGATCCGATGGAGTTTCGAATGGACACTCGTGTCGCTTGTTGAATAATAAACGTGCAACGAACTGTGCATTCGTGTGTTTATGATAACAGCATTAACAGTAATCCTTGGTCGTGTATTGTTTTTATCCCATGCCGTCGCTGGTGTATTATGTACCTTAGTGGTATTATGCGAGATAATATAACCGTGACCTTCGTATTCGTGACCGTGATTATTATGCTTTTTGAGGTTAAAATGCAGCTAGGATTTTGACTGACTGCGCCGAGCCATAAGGTTAGTAAGATTTTCCTTGATGTGTCTTGATAACTTAAGTTTATCTTGCCCTACATTTGTCCTGCCACTAAATTGTAATACACTTGCTAAATGTAGTTTTTTGTGTATAATACCTACTTACTAATAAGTGTGCAAGTTTTTTAAGCATGATTTTTACTTTTATGTTTTAATTAGGATGTTATGAATTCTATAAAATGTATTTTGACATCTGTTATTCTTAACTTCTCAAGTTAAAAAGCATATTCAAATATTGAATTTGAAAGTATGGCGGTTGGTTGGTCCGGCTGGCCAACGTATAACGTGGTGCGGGCCGGCGCGGCGAGAATGCAACCTCACCGCGGGACGTAAAAAGGGAATAAAACAAGCTTGTAAAGGACGCGCCATTGCTTATCCAAATACTTTCGGTACTCCGCATGTTCAGAGGACCGTTCATTAAGTGGAATAACGAAAACATCGATAAAAATGCGTTCGCGCCAAAAAAAAAAATCCTTTTTTCAGGTGGCGATACTATTTTTATGATTATTATTATCGTGAAATTAAATTCCTGCTTTACATTTAATTACGTGGTGTATTATTTTGGAAAGTAGGAAGGATAACATGTGTAATTTAAATGCTAATTGTTGATATTAATAACTTGCTTTTACTAATTATTGAATGTTATAATATAGATACATATAACATGTGATTTTCAGGCCGTAACAACAGAGCATTGCTCTACTACGATCTTATTAAACTTGTTGATAACAACTGCCTTTACCTATGAGTTATCGTCAGTTACCGATAGGCTTACTTTTGTGATGTAATCTAAATACACACTATTTCTCTTTCTCCAGGTTCGCGTTATCAGGAATAAATAATACCGTCTGTTTTTCTAACTGTGATAAACCAACATCGATTGGATTGAATAGACTGATGGACTGGATAGACTGAAATCCGACACGCGTGAAGTAGGTGAACACATGACTAATTGAAAAATAAACACTATCTATATGATTTAGAAAAAAATAACCAAAAAAAGGGAAACTGGTAAAACTTGTTTTTTAATAATCACGGAAAAGCCGAAATTATTTCTTTAAATTTTTGGATAGTATCGTTTATATTTTTACGGTCACGGAAAACCGCAAAGAACTTTGGTATGACATAGGAATTACGAAATAGATTTAGTTCTTATACGATATTTTACGCACGATTGAATTTACCATAGTTTGTCGTTTTTGACACTGGAGCCGGACAATCGATAACAAATCGATATCGATTTGTTTATCGAATAAATTATTCGTTTTTACGTAAATCGATAGTCTGCAATATTTAGGTATTTTGTAGCGCATCGTTTCGTAAGTCTGTTGTTTTGATTACTATTGAGTAATATGATCTCGATAAACATGATATCACCCATTCGATTCATGTTAAATGTTTATATTCTATAGAATTCGATGTAAAGACACTAAAATTATATAAAAATACAGATGAAAAAGTTTTAACCTTGTTATTTCTATCAAATTATATAAAATTATAATATTAATGCCGCTCCAATCTAATGCATTTTATAATAAAGTTGTTATATAATTTCAATTAATTCCATACTGTTTTTTTTATATCATAAGGTGGCAAACGAGCGAACGGCCACCTGGAAACGCTGAAATAGCGAAGTGACCGTTGCCCATAGACATACGCAATTGCATATGCGTTGCCTACCTTTAGTACTTGGTCACTTTCCATAAACAGTAGGTATTAAGCTATATTTAGTACCCGAAGGACCTAATAATGAATGTATTATTTTTCTTTCATTTGTTATTCGTATCAGTTGTTTAATTAAAACGTTGGTATTAGTGTAAATATTGATCCTTGTTCCAGTTGCCCGCTCTATTTAACATTGTGCGCGTCTCGGGTTGCCGCATGTTTGCCTTTAGATGGACTACAAACTTTTTTTAAAGATTACACGACAACTTTATGCAACGATGTCGACTGTTACAATGATATAAAATCATTGTGTAATTTTTAACTGATGAATGCATCGGTTACCAAGAGAGTTTGTACTTTTATTTTTGTTTAAAACGGTGATGTCTTGACTAATAGTCTACTAGCTGTCGCCCGCGACTCTATCTGTCTGTAGCCCATGTGTTCTTCCAGACTACGTTCTATATGTATGTCAAATTTCATCAAGTTCCTTTGAGCCGTTTCGGAGATACCTTCAAACTATCCATCCATCCATCCATACTTTCGTATTTTTATATTAGTAAGTATTAGTACGATTGTTACTAGAATATCTAAGAAAAAGTGGAACAGCGTGGTGCGATCAAATTTTATTTTATATGTAAACAGGAAACATGGAACTTATTTAGTTACTTTTATTTTGGTTTTAGGTTTGGTAAAGAAGAGGATTATACTATTCTGAGTTGTTAAAAAAGGCTTAATACTGAAGTTTTGTTTCTAAGAAATAATAGCTATTTTGTTACCTGCCAGGATTACCCCCGTTATCTTTACGTCCAAAACCACAATAAAGACTTGTAGTAATTACTTAACTTTTTAAATGCAGAGTAGAAAATATGAGAGTATTAAAGTCAATGAAACGGAAATATCTATTGTAAACTTCAAGTAAACAAAAATGTTTATTTTGGTAATGTTTGAATGGAGTTAAAAATACATTTAGTAGTGCATCAAAAGTCAGTGCATTTGTTTATTTTATGACTTGGTTCGATCGCGATCGAAGTTTATTAACCTTTTTATTTGATTGTAGAGTCCGGTATTCTGGTGTTGATGTTTATTTGTGATGATTGGTTATTTTATCATGATATGCAGAAATATCGAAATACATATATCGAAATCAGACAAAAGATAAAATGTTGTGTGACAAACTCTCTCTTATCAATATTATCATTAAAGATATTGCAAGAATATTAATTTATGTGTAACGATTTCTCCTTTGAATTAAAAAAAATCGAATGATTATTTTTTTATTTAATAATAATAAAAGAATATAATGACAATCCCTTCCAGATTTATATTATAATTGTTATCAAGAATTTGTCATAAGATTTTGTAGTTTTGGTGTATACAACCCAAAGAAATTTGTTACTGATTTTCGTTTCCATTGAAAACAGTAAGAAGTTATGACGTCATAAATCTATGGGAACTTAAAGGTACAGTTGTCTTAATATTTATATTAGTAGTAAATATTTAACTATTTTAAGCTGATTTTCACGAAAACATAGTTCGATATTTCTAGAATATCTGCCGGGCGAGT